CAAGGCTATTTTTTAGGGTGGCAGTTGCCACCCCATGCCACCCCGGTAGATCCGCCCCTGTGTCTATCCCTTGACCTCTGTGTGAAACATCACAGGGTTAAGGGATAGTGGATAGGAGAATTCAAAAGGATTTAGGAGAAGAGACTGCGGTACTTTAGAGAATCCGACTGCACTTTCACTATCCGACGTGTTTATGATGCGCCAGCGGACGTCATAAATGTGCGTCTGCTGCTGTGGGGAAACTATGGAAACTACAGTTTTCTATACAGCGGACTACAACATGGATGTTTAATAAGAACGAGGGACTACTGTAAACTCATCTAGAGACTCTGCACCGTGCTCTGATGCTGTTGTTTTATGCTTTATGAACGGGGACAACAGAGAAACATATTCTTCATGACCAAAGTTGGAATTGAAATAAAAAAGGAAAGTGAAACTTATGCTCGTCACCCTCTCCCTCCGGTCCACATTAATACAAATGATCCCAATACGTATGATTGTATGAAAAGATCTTAAAATCAATACAAATGTATTTATTATAAACGTTAGTCCTTAACATCTATCACTGTGTATATCACCATTCAAACATCTTTTAAAAGTTGAACAAACCCCACATAGCTCAGTAAAGACTGTGAAATGTTGACTTTATTTGATCATTTCAGTAAAAACTAACGTTCATATTTCTCTTTTTGATTATAATACTGATGAACGTTCAAAACAAAGCACTTGTGGCAAGTTACCACATACGTTTTAAAAAGCTTAATAAGCACCGTAACTTTCATGATATCATTTCTCGTTCATAATCGGTTGTTTCCGTGAACGGCCTACTGTTGTGTGATGACAAATGCTGCGGCCGCAAGGCATTGTGGGGCAGCATTTTCTCCTCTCCTTTCGTAAAGGGAGGTCCAGTGGTTCCTCAGCTAAAGGAGGTTATAAAGGAAGTTTGAAACCTCCTTTCCTATCATCTAGAGCAGGGGTGCTAGTGGACTGCGAGCACCGGAACCTCGAAGCGGCGGAGAAACTGTGGCGCGCTTACACTTATTGTGCCGCATTTGCGCTTCAGATGAGGAGGTGAGGCCCCCCTTATACCCTTTCTTTAGTAGAATTGTATAAATTGGAAGGCTAATAGGTAATCAGCTCGCCGGTGATTTGCAGCTGGCGCGATTGACCGCGCATGCGTGGTGAACTGCGTGTTAGAAAATATGAGATCTCAGAATGGCTTACCTGTACGTCAATCAAGTGACAAACGCCATAGTAAGGGCGGATGATAGGCTTTTTTATTTATTTATTTTTATTATTTTTTTTAAATGCCATGCGATCGACCGGTCGATTGCGATGAACGTATTGGGCACCCCTGATCTAGAGAATTGGAACAGCACTTATCATGGCTGCCACTGAGGTACTTCCGGGTCATTTCACTCCGTTAGGAAGGTTCCTAAGCTAAATGGACTATTCGACTTCAGCCCTGGTGTCGTCATCAATTTGAGTATTTCTTTTTTTCTCTCAACCCAAAATCTAGTTTTAAATAAGACCAACATAATCAATAGCATGAGGATGTAATTCCTTTTTTTAAATTATTAGCATTTTAAGAAATTATTTGATTACAAGGCATACATAACAAAATAAACTGTATAGATACATAAAATAACTGCATAACAATCCACAAATCAGGAAAAAAGAAAGAAAAAGAGAAAAAAAACATTAATTGATAATACCATTTAAGGCATACATGTCAAACTCGTGGCCAAATCCGGCCTGTGGTGGATTTAATTTCAGCCCGCAGGATAATTTCTAATTACTATTAGATCTGGCCCGCCGGTATATTGCACGCACACCTTCACTCCATCCTGAGGGTCTCCTCAGCTCAGAGCCTGACCCCAAACATTGATGACCTTGCACCCAAGATGAGATGCCAAGTATCTGGCTTGAACTAGCATCACAGAGCAGCACACTGAGTTTACATGGATGTTTCCTTCTGCACTTTGTTTCTTGCGACAGCAGGGCATGTTTGGTTTTTCTTAGAGGGAAATCGTTTTGTTGAAGCTGTTGTTGGCCTGTGGAAAAATGTAATCATAAGAAATGACTCTGGAAAAGCTGCAGATAGAGCCATAAGAAATGAATGCAACTGATTATTTAATGTTTAATGTTGTTTTTATAGGCAATCATTTAAGCTTAGTTAGTTCCAGGTTTAATATGTGCAATAAGTTCATTTCAATAAGTTTTGCAATAAACATTGAACCGGCCCTCGACTAGTACCCATTTTTTAATTTTGTGTATTTGAGTTTGACACCCCTGGTATAGCTTACACATAACGGATACAACATTAATAATCATACGTACATTCATTCTCACCTCTTACCACCATCATAATAAATATTTTGTGTACATTTTAAATACTGTATGTCCAATTTTAAAAATGGAAAAGGAGCTGGGTGTGTACAATTTTAGATTAGGAAATCAGTAGTTTTTTTGAAAAAATATTTCCTGTAAATAGTTGATGTGTGCCTGTTTATGTGAGTTAAGTAATTTAAATGTAAATGTCAAGTATTTGCAACTGTATATCTGCATCATTATAGGACTTATAGGACATAAGTCGTTAAGCCAAAGCGTATAATGAATTGTGAACTACTAAATAAATGTGTGGTTAGATTTTGTAATTGTGTCCCATGCACCCTCTGAGATGCTATACACATCAGCAGAGCTACTAATAATATAAAAAGAAAGCACCAAGAGTCCGCCAAGAGCAAATTCTCTTCTTGATGTAATGAATACAAGGTAAACAGGAAAAGTTAAGCATTAAACTAACAATCTGTGTGTTTATGACGTGGCTCTAATCCTCCTGATCCGCTTCAACCTGTGTGGGAATTCATGATCTTCAGCTTGAGCTCATCCTTATTTAAACAGCAACAGAGGAGCTTTTTTCTTTAAGCAATTCCAGATGGGGGACGAAATCATAAGTCCTAGTTTCATGTAGGAATGCATTTTGTTAAATATTAAGTCCAGCCCAAGGTAATATGAAAGTCTGTAACTGAGGCCACGTTTACACGGAGACGAAGCGGGTTGTATCCGCTACAGTTCTCTATTGTATGGACGGTTCGTCCACACAAGGCCGTAACGGAACCGCGGAAACGGAGCCCTCAAACGATAACGGCTCCCAAGGTGGGTAGATCTGCAGACAAAACAGCTCCGTGTGTACGTTCTATACGATCATTTCCTGATAACGATGACGCCATAGCCCCGACTCTCCTCACCTCTGCTGCTCACCCCCGTGTCACCCCCGTCATTGCTGATATGTTTCGCCAACAACAACAACAATGGAGGATCACAGGGTTGCTTTCGTGCTCCAGACGCTACTGACCATGCTACAGATGTTAGTGCAAAATCTACAGCTCCTCTACCACAACCATCAGCAACAAGTGGACATGGAGAACTACATGAACTACATGTTGCTAAATCCACCGTGGAGAATAAACAGAAGGGCAACCAGGCAACCATGCTCGGGGGGTCTTATTCGCTGCTTTTGGTGTATTTTGTGGTGGAAGTACAGCGCCACTTACAGGCCCGGCATATGTACTACAGCGTTTCCAGCGGGTCGAACGGTCTCGTGTGAACGGACACGTTTCTTGAGCCGATTCTGTGTGGACGGAAGACTTTTTTGATATCGACTAAGGTTAATTTTCGTCTCCGTGTAAACGTGGCCTGAGAGGTACCCACTTGATTAGGCAAATGTTGACTGTTGGAAGTTTCATATTAGCTAGAGCTGAAAGTAGAATGTGTTTTACATGGAGTGAAGACTTTGCATTATACATTTACAAGTTTGATGTGTATTATTCTTATTGAGGTAAAACCAAGCGGCTAACTCTGGGGGAGAGCCGGGAAGCCCATAAGGAAGTGCCACAAACTGCAGTTCATCTATTGGCCGATAGGGGATGGCTGCAGAAAGGAGCAATTTCCATAGACCCCCATGTTAAAATGCCCAACTTTACAGCAGAAATAAACATGTTTCTACCCCTGGATGCAATAAAAAATATTCTGGATATAGTTAGATTCCACCTTCATGACAATGGATTGGGGAGTACATTTTTTTACAACGCACCCCTTTTAGTTATATTAGGTCTTAACGTTTTTGCATAAATTAGGGCGTGTTCACCTTGAGTGACAGGTCTCTGCGGTGACTGCTGCTTCTAGCTTTCTGTCCCTCTGCTAGCTCCGTTAGCTCTGTTAGCTCCAGGATGCTACAGGGGCCCAGCTGCGAGGCTGATCCGGGGAACACAACTTGAACTCGGACGTGTTTCCTGTGTTGGTGCCTGGTGGAGTATTCTTATTTTAAATATCGGACTTATCTTATGCCGCCTCGGCTCCGCCTCTTTGCCCTTATTTGGATCAGGCTGGAGCAGGCGGGAGTTAGACTCTGACGTCACTGTCGAGGCGGCAGTGGCCGACTCCGCCTACTAAGGGCTTCTCAGCAAATCTGCAGAAACAGTAGTCAGTAGATCAAAACAGAGAAAAACAACATCATCACAGATGTGCATATGGGCGGCTGTGGCTTAGTGGTTAATGTGCTCATCTTCAAAACAGTCGAACACCGGTTCAATTCCACCTTTACACCCACTGCAGTCAGAATGTCGCAGTGTCCTCGGACAAGACACTTCACATAAAAGTGTCTAATAAGTAACATGTAATGTTCAATATGTATACCAACAAGTCAGTCTGGTCCAACCTCAACTGTTAGTTATTATGATATGCGATTGATCATTATGTCTATAAAATATCAAAACCTAGAGAAAAAGGTCCATCCCAGTTCATAAAAGTTGGCTGATATCTCAAATTGTTTTGTTTTCCAGAACCATAACATTCCCTTTGAGTAAAAAAAACAAAAAAAAACAGTGATTTTCGGCTTTTCTGCACAAAATATAACTTTTCAAGCAATACAAAAATTGACAATTTTTTTTCTGTTGATCAGTTTATGGATTATTCAAATAAATTGTTGCAGTCGGTGGGACTTGGCAATACATTTTATTCTCAGTTGACTCAGTATGTTTCATAATTTATCCTGTGGCCAATCCAATCCCCTTTTCTCTTTCAAAATAACAGTAGAGAGTGGAGCCAAAGTATTTTCTCTGTTCCTCCTCACATCTGCAGGCAGAGCTCTTGACAGGCTTCAGTCTCAACACTTCCTGCTGGATGTCTGCTGATCTCTGTCTCGTTGTCCTCACATGTCTTTCTTCTGTTTTGTGGCTTACAAAGATCTAGCAGGGCATAACCTCTTCGTTTTCTGTCTCTTTATCTCTTCCTTCTGTACCTCCTCACTTCCCCTCTTCCCCTCCTTCTTGCTCTGCTGGCCAATTGACAGAGATGTGGTAAGACTTCAGCTCCTCCTCAGAAACAAAGTCAGGGGCGCAGCTCATCAGGTCGTGACCCCGAAATGACTTGGGGAAGGCAATGACGTCACGGATGCTGTGAGCCCCGACCATAATGGAAACCAGTCGGTCCAAACCTAGAAAAGCATGGAGACAAGTTCATAAATGTTTCACAGATTTGACCTTTTAGCTTATGATTTGTGCATTTTTTGTAGTAGAATTAGATGAGTTCAGTGGTGGTAAGTAACAAAGTACATTTACCGGTACTCAAGTACTGTACTTAAATAAACATTTATTTTTGGAGTATTTTCTTTTTCTTTGCCTCTTCATACTTCAACTTCACTACAATTTAAAGGGAAATAAGGTAATTTTTACTTTATTCAATTTATTTTAGACATTTAGTTACTAGGTCCTTTATAAGTTCAGATTTTTTTTATTCACAACACTTAGGAGGAACTTGTGTAATATGATGCCATCCAACATTATTTAAGCACCTGAAAAAATAAGTGGGTTGACGTTGTCTGTTTGTTAATAAAAAGTTTCAGCTTCTCAAAAGTGAAGATTTGCTGCATTTATTATTTTTATTTCATAATTTGAAGTACTTTTACTCCTAATACTTTAAGTACATTTTCCTGTTCCAGTACTTTTCTCAATGCAGTACTTTTGTTTGTTATTCACCATTTTTACAGTATAGTATAAGTACTTTTACTTCAGTTCAGCCGCCCATGGCTCATAGCTATATTAACAACAATGCTTTAGTCATTTTTATTCAACTATCTAGCTGCTCACAATTTTTCTGTCTCTGTGGTGGCCCAAGCCAACAGGAGCTAGCTTAAACTGCTAACACTGGTCTTCATTTTGATGCTTGGTAATAATATAAGCTCACAAGTCAGTCTAGCTAGTACGCCGGCTAAGGACAGTAGAAGGACTGCATGTGCAGCCTTGTTAAGCAAAATGTAAAAGAGATTTAGTTACTGCAGTCATGTACTGTGTGTATTTACAGTAAAGCAGGAGAATATCTTTAGCGCTGTTGTTGTTCCAGCTTACAAGCGCTAACTGGCTACATTTAGTAGCAGTTGTTGAACTAGTTAGCAGAAGAGAGGCATGTAATGACAACACAGCTGTCATGAAAAGTGACATTATAAAATAAAATCACAAAAGGGTTATAAGTTTCTATAATGAACTAAAATGATATCCACACACTACCTCTACACATATCGTTATACTGTACAGCAGGCATAATGATTATAGTTATGTAATAATGAGGGATGTTTTTATCGTTTCTTCAATTCAAATTGTTGATTCATGTAAGAGCCATTCATTTAAAAGATACATTATTTGAATAATCATGAGTTACACTAATAACATTTTTTGTATAGTTTTGTATATATCCACATTTCTGGACTATGCAATGTGTATGTTTATTATTGTTTACGACCTAGTTTTATGCCGTAAAGCAAACTTTAATGGGCAGGTCCAAGAGTTAAAAATGGCGCTACAACAGTGAGACAATGGAAGTCTGCAAGCGTGAAACGACCGCACGCGTCCGCACGCCTGATAGTGTAATGGTTCTTGAGTTTAATTTACTATCTCCAGATGAAAGAGTCTTTAAGTCGGAAGTGGACCGCTAAGAGACGTATGGAGTTGGAAGCTGTGATTCAATAAACCCTCATGAATCACCTGTGACTACATTGTCTTCATTTCAGATATTTGGAGTCAGAGCTCAACTTCATCTTGTAGAAGTGGCCTTACAACAATGAACTTTGGATAAACCGCCACTACAATTAATTTATACCCTTAACCTCAATTATTGCTAAAAATTGATGTTGTCAAACGCAGAGTTAACTCACCCAAAGCAATGCCTCCATGTGGTGGTGCTCCTGAGTCCAGAGCCTCCAACAGGTGAGAGAGGAGACTGGGGTCCTCCTGCAGAAGACACATTCATACAACAGTTATGATGAGGAGTTCATTCAACCCATTTCCACAGGTAGTCCGAACACTGTTAAGGTCATTTGTTCTGGAAATGCCATTTTCGAGGCTGAGACCTGAAAAACAGGCTTGGGGCCTAACAGGTTAAGATATATGGACAATGACTGACCTGGAGGATACTTTTCAGGACATGAAGCTGCTCTGAGGCCTTGTGGATGCGGATGGAGCCTCCTCCGATCTCACAGCCGTTCAACACCAGGTCATAGTGCTGACCACGCACCTGAGAGGACAGCACATAAGCCTTGATGCATCTCACATCACATGAATATTACTTAATCAAAAAAAAAATGAAAATTAAACCTTGTTCCTTAGTGACTACCTTGTGTGGCTCTGTGTAGAGGAGGTGTGTGTCCTCTGGCAGCGGAGCAGTAAACGGATGATGGGCTGACTCCAGCTGCTCCGGATCCTCCTCTTTGGGCAAGAAGAGAGGGAAGTCCACAACCCACAGGAAGTGGAATGCTGAGGGGTCTCGGACTGACACGCCACGAGACTCCAGGAGCTCTGCACACTGCATGCGAAGTTTACCCAGCAGAGGGCGCTGAGACAGAGAGGGGGTGCAGTAAGACAGAGGAAAGACGAAGCTTAGGATGGAAGAGAAATTAACCTGTACTCACTTTATAGTCAGTGTTATCCAGTGGTAGAAGTAGAGCTATGGTTTAAATTAAAAGTAGCAAAATATAATTTGTAAAAGTCCAAAGTGTCAGCATTCAAATAAACTTAAAGTACCAATAGTAACAGTACTCGTTATTTTTAATGGCGCAATACAAAATGGTAATAAATCACTGGATTATGATTTGTGCTGGTACATATAGAGCTACTTTAAATGACTTTATATGCTGCTGCTGGATATCTTAACCGATAATTATACATATTTTATTATTTATTGAATTAGCTAATAATCTAAATCTAAAAAATAACTAGTAACTAAAAGCTGTCAAATTAATGTAGTGGAGTAAAAAGTAGCTTCCAAAATGTACCTCATAATTGTACTTGAGTACATTACTTGAGTAAATGCACATAGTTACTTCCCGCCCCTGTCAGGGAGTGTCGTACCACAGTGTGCAGGGCCCCGGCTGCCAGCAGCAGCAGGTCCCCTGGCTGGGCTCCGCTCCCCTGCAGCAGCTCCTCTGTGGCCGAGGCAGACAGCAGCTTCTTCAGAGGAGACTTCAGCGTCCCGTCTGCTCTGACCAGCACCACGCTCAGCTCCTGGGACAAACACACACACATTAAAGATCACCTATTATGCTATATTTGAACAATATATTATAGGGCCATATCTATACAAAACATGTCTCTGGTTTTTTTAAGCAAAACACTTCAAACAGATCACCCATTGTAGCCTCATACCCCTCTATTTCAGCCCTGTTACTAAAGTGCTGATTCTGGGTCTGGCCCTTTAAATGTAACCGAGCTGCTGCTGGCCACACCCCTTTGGAGCTGCTGCTGGCTCTGTGAAGAGAAGGCTGTCTACCAGCAGAAACTCAGCTTGTTTGTGTTTGCCATATGCAACACAACCTTAAATTGTGTTTTTAATGCCTCGTTACAGGCAACCTGCGATTTCTCCACATGCTTTACCATTGCCACGCTCTGGTTGACCACCCTTGAAGCTTCGATGTGGCTATGGCTACTTTTGTGATCATTCAACGCTGATTTCTGCATCGTCGTGCACCCTCGGACAAATCCGTTACTCATCTTAGCTTTTCTACAGATGTCGGAGAACATTTTGCCATCTTCCCTCCTCAGCCACTTAAACTCTTGCTCCCACTGAACCCGGTACTCCCGCTTGAACTCCTTGCCACTTGCTTGTCCCTCTGCTGCTGGCTGAACGTTGTCAGTTTTAGTCTTACTGGCTTGTCCTTCATCCTCCACTGCATCAATCCCTCTTTTTTCACCTCGTTTATCCACACCATCACAATTACTGCTTATTCAAAAAGCTTCGGACGATCAGCTGCCGTGACATTTTGCGATTGCTAAAGCCGGTTAAACAACGAGGTAATCAACGAGGTCAAATACAAGACTGGTATGGGAACAATAGGTTGGGACGTGGGTGGGACATTGCCAGGAGTTCAACGTAAAGCCAGCCCACATTTTAGTCATGAGCGCAGCAAATCTGGATCAGCTCCGTTGTTCCCCCGTTTTTAGAGATGTGTGTAAGGAGGAAAAGAGAGAGGGTTGTATTTTCTGACACTTTTGCATAATAGGTTACCTTTAAGAAGAAAAGAGACAATGTGGAAACACTGGGGTTGGAAACAATAATACCTTTCAAACTCTACAGGTTTGAGAGTTGAAATATTGGTTTGCTGTTATTTTAGCATAAATATGGAAGCCCTGAGGGGCAAACAAAAAAATGAATATGGAGATCCCTTTTTAGGTCTGATCCAATTACTTCTTTCAGGATAAAACAAACCTGATTCTATTTCTAAATCACTCAACATAAATGTTAATTTGTGAAACACACAAAAAAAGGCTTTGCCAGATGAAAAAAAAAAGGTTTGGCCTATAAACATTTACCAAGTACATAACTGTTCATGACTTTCTTTCTTTTTTATGTGTTTCAATCATATCAATATATGTTTCAAAGATCATTTTTTAAATAAACTAATAACTATTATCTTGGCTTGTGTTTATAAACACAGGAGAAGGAAACCATTTGGATCAGGCTTAGGCAATGGATCACCAGAATGTGTTTTTCTCACTGTCATCTCAGGGCTTCCGTACATACCACTACGTACGCTCTATTGTTTTTAGCCGCTTTAGCAGCTTTGCTCTAAGAATGGCAATATTAGCCGCGCTTTGGTCCAGACTAAAATATCTCAACAACTGGATAGACTTCTTCAGTGCACAGCAATACTTTTCCTTTTGTATACTCTTACACATAAAGAAGACACTTTTCATAAAGATTCCTTGTACATTTCAAACAATGTAGGTGATTAACTTTTTATTTCCTCCCTATTTGTTCCGTTTTGTGATATAATTTACTTGATCTATTATTAGTTCTTTAAATCATAAGAAAAAAGTAATTTAGAGAAAAATCAGAGAAACCTACCTGTCCAAACAGAGTCCTAGCGGTCCGTTTCAGTTCTTCCAAATCTTTAGCAGAAAATAGTTTCTGTAGTCAAACACAAGAAACACATTTTTGTTTTTAATGATGGTCACATTGTAACTCACAATGTATGCACAGTATGCTTGGATGTATTTTTCCTCACCGCTCCACTGGGGACGCAGATGGCCTGAACGGAGCCTGCTGGTTTGCTGAGAGCTGATCTGAGGAACTCTGCTTGAGTGGATGAGAAAACCGGACTGAGGTCCATCAGCTGGACACGGAGGGAGAGAGAGAGAGAACAGAGAGAGATTCAGACAACTCCACAGTCATGTTCACACCGTCCTGAACATACACTTACTGTCATCATTGATTATTAACGGATGAATTCATGGTTAAAAACACCACTCATTGGGCTCTTATGGCTCAATTGGAAATAACCTAACATTTCTTAGAATTATTATTATTTATACCATTTTTTATTTTAAGTCCTAATAATGGAGTTCATAACAGATATACAGTAGTTAGGTACAATTCACCCCCATGCTTCTGCTCTAACAGAGCCCCATCACAATTACAGCCCTGTTTATTAATCAAACAGAACACATATAATAAACACATAAATGTACATGTAATACATTTGATTCGACAAAAAGAGAAAATCATAACATTAAGAAATAAAAAAAGCTAATACAAAACACTGAGTATCACAGTGTTTAAAAAAAACATAAAACTTTTAAATCATTTTTGTGTTTCAATGTGGAATGGTTGCTTTTCAAACGCTAATTCCATCACTATAGGTCAAAAACTAAAATGGCTCTGGTAAATAAAACATTATAAGTCCAACAGGCTTCTTTCTTCACCTCTTCTTGATCTCAGATTTGGCAGAACAAACAGTTATTTTATTTTTTTGGAGCATTACATATTCACACAGTAATAGATTGTTCATCAGACAATACAAACACAATACTGAGCATGTTGAAAATGCCAAAAATGTGTTGTATTCATACAAAATTAAAAACTCATGTATAGCCCCTTACTTTAGTAATCTCCTAATATCTGGAGAAGTGTTCCTAGATGAACAATGCGATTCTTTGTACATTTCACATTTTCTGCCCGGTAGTGCTTCACTCGTGTTTTAATGATGGTGCTTGTCTCTGTCCCATGAACACTATCTGTGTTCACCAGAGTTACCAGAGCCAGTAAACAGCATCCCCTGTGTGACCCAGTGCAGCCTGGACACTCCCTGTGAGATCCAGGATGAGTAAAACAAACAGAGAGTGGACATTACCCAAACTTAAGCCCTGATCTCACCTCAAATAAACCAGCTGGAGACATTTTGGCAAGCTTTGTGTTTGAGACCACATAAAAACTGTTATTTAAAAGCTGCAGTGCAGAGCTGTGAACTTAGTTTATAATTGCGAGTCCAAATGGACAAATGATCCAAAATATGAAAAACAAGGTTCATCTCCAGTCGTAGCAATACAATTTAGTGAGAAGGGTAATATTAGTAATTGTTACACGGCTAAGTTGAATACTTAATTCTAATTTGTCAATTTGGACATTTCAGAGGTTACTGCCACGCAAACTAATGACCATTGCTGAGGAGGATCAAAGAAGGGAAAGAAAGAGGTTAAAAGACAGAGCACTGGATGTCAGATGAATCACTAGAAGAAGACGGACAGGAAGTAAACACTAACAGTAAGAGCAGAAGCAGGCTGACAGGAAGTAAACACTAACTAACTTTAAGTTATGTTGTTGTCAGCTCTGACATCTAGGCATCAAGGAGGATTTCAGAAACAAACAAATGTAAATAAAACTCAAACAACTCACCTTCATGCAGAACCTGGTGTCAGGCTTGTCCACACCGTAGTCCCGCATGGCCTGCTCATACGTCATGGTTTGGAAAGGAACCTGGACGGGACCTTTCTCTGCAGGCCAGGAGTAAGCTAACAGCCCCTCCACCAGGGCCAGGATGCCTGCCTGCTCCACAAAAGACATTTCTATGTCTACCTGAGAGAGATGATGGGAAAACACACATCAGAACTGTTACCAACTCGTAAAGTCTAAGCAAAAACCAGGAAAAAGTGCAGTTAGCTATTTTCACCCAGGTCAGCGCTTTTCATGTCCCATGTGAAAAGTCAAGATTGAGTTATTTTAAATTACGTACGTAGAGTTAAAGTAATGTATCCTACGTAACGTTGGTTAACATAAGTATATGTTCCATGACAAAAGTTCTTATTTTGACACAAACCATGATCTTTTCCTACATCTGACCAGATTTAAGATTCAAAGGCTTTATTGTCATATGCACAGTAGTTACAGTGAACCTGCAGAGGTTCAACATGGACACGGACATACTCTGCAACTTCTACAGGTGCACCATAGAGAGGATCCTGACCTTCTACAGGTGCACCATAGAGAGGATCCTGACCTTCTACAGGTGCACCATAGAGAGGATCCTGACCTTCTACAGGTGCACCATAGAGAGGATCCTGACCTTCAGGTGCACCATAGAGAGCATCCTGACCTTCAGGTGCACCATAGAGAGGATCCTGACCTTCTACAGGTGCACCATAGAGAGGATCCTGACCTTCTACAGGTGCACCATAGAGAGGGTCCTGACCTTCTACAGGTGCACCATAGAGAGCATCCTGACCTTCTACAGGTGCACCATAGAGAGCATCCTGACCTTCTACAGGTGCACCATAGAGAGGATCCTGACCTTCTTCAGGTGCACCATAGAGAGGATCCTGACCTTCTACAGGTGCACCATAGAGAGGATCCTGACCTTCTACAGGTGCACCATAGAGAGCATCCTGACCTTCTACAGGTGCACCATAGAGAGGGTCCTGACCTTCTACAGGTGCACCATAGAGAGCATCCTGACCTTCTACAGGTGCACCATAGAGAGCATCCTGACCTTCTACAGGTGCACCATAGAGAGGATCCTGACCTTCTACAGGTGCACCATAGAGAGGATCCTGACCTTCTACAGGTGCACCATAGAGAGGATCCTGACCTTCTACAGGTGCACCATAGAGAGGATCCTGACCTTCTACAGGTGCACCATAGAGAGGATCCTGACCTTCTACAGGTGCACCATAGAGAGGATCCTGACCTTCTACAGGTGCACCATAGAGAGCATCCTGACCTTCTACAGGTGCACCATAGAGAGGATCCTGACCTTCTACAGGTGCACCATAGAGAGGATCCTGACCTTCTACAGGTGCACCATAGAGAGGATCCTGACCTTCTACAGGTGCACCATAGAGAGGATCCTGACCTTATGCAGGTGCACCATAGAGAGCATCCTGACCTTCTACAGGTGCACCATAGAGAGGATCCTGACCTTCTACAGGTGCACCATAGAGAGGATCCTGACCTTCTACAGGTGCACCATAGAGAGGATCCTGACCTTATGCAGGTGCACCATAGAGAGCATCCTGACCTTCTACAGGTGCACCATAGAGAGGATCCTGACCTTCTACAGGTGCACCATAGAGAGGATCCTGACCTTCTACAGGTGCACCATAGAGAGGATCCTGACCTTCTACAGGTGCACCATAGAGAGCATCCTGACCTTCTACAGGTGCACCATAGAGAGGATCCTGACCTTCTACAGGTGCACCATAGAGAGGATCCTGACCTTCTACAGGTGCACCATAGAGAGGATCCTGACCTTCTACAGGTGCACCATAGAGAGGATCCTGACCTTCTACAGGTGCACCATAGAGAGGATCCTGACTGGCTGCATCACGGCCTGGTACGGCAGCTGCAACGCCCTCAACCGTAAGACTCTACAGAGGGTGGTGAAAACTGCACAGCACATCACCAGGACGGAGCTGCCATCCATGGAGGACCTCTACTCCCAGCGGCTCAGGAAGAAAGCCCTCAGGATTATAAAAGACCCCCATCACCCCAGCCACAAACTGTTCCGTCTGCTGCCGTCTGGCAGGCGGTACTGCAGCATCAGGACTAAACCCACCAGACTCAGGGACAGTTTCATCCCACAGGCCATAAGACTGTTAAACACCAGAGCTGGCACTATTTTTTGGGACAATTTTATTATATTTTTATGAAAATGTATGTCTTGTAATTGCACTGTTGAGGAACCTTTGACCTACATTTTTCATTCATTGCATAACTACACCTTAGTTGTATATGTGGCATGACAATACATCTTTGAATCTTGAATCTTCAGATATAGCAATGAACATCTGAAGTCCCAGGCTCCTCCAACAATGCAGCATAAATATATATATTAAGACATAAAACAATAAAAATACTGAAAGAATAAACTGAATATAAATAAAATAAAATAGTGCAAGAGAATGTTGCAACACTAATGTGCAAGTAATGCAGGAGAAGTCAACTATATACAAGTCAAATACAGAGGTAAAAATGAATTCCGGTACAAGAATAAAACACTGCTTATTGTAGTAATAATAGAGTGTGAGTTGACAGATGAATGCTTTAGGTTATGAAGACACTTCCCAAAGCTCAGGAGTTCAGCAGTCTTATGGCCTGTGGGATCAAACTGTCTGGTTGTCTTTCTCCTGATGCTGCGGTGTTCAGGTCGTTTTCGTTCCTTCAAATAATTAAGTAGTGAGTTTTCTAGATGATTGTTGAAGTCACTGTTATATTAACGGTTTACAGGCATGACGATGTGATCCTCCTCCATCCTGAGGCGTGCTTTTTTTAGGAAACACTCCTGTGAGTTGTATCAGAGGGTAGGAACAAACCGCATGTATGGTCACACAGGTTAGTACTTAGATTTTACAGTTTGGTAAGTTCCCTGACTAGATTTGAAATGTTCGGCTAAAATACCAACCACTAAGGAAATAAAAAGAACAGTATAGTCTCAACATAAGTCCTGCTGTGTGGGTGCATTGTGTCCTCCGTCCTACCTGAGTGAACTCCGGCTGCCGGTCTGGTCTGGAGCCTTCATCTCGGTAGCAGCGAGCAACCTGGAAGTACCTGCCACACAGCGAAGACAAAGGATGGTATAACTCACCTTCACTTTTTCTTTCTATCAACTTTCTAGTTCATGTTCAAAAAGTATATTGTTTTCCCTGTAAAGAAAACATGCTATATTAGCATTTGTTCAAAAATGTTTAGGAACTTAACGGCACATTTCAAATGTATATTTATGTATAGATGTCGCAATTGTACTATGTTTTGGCAATTCAGTATGTCATTATGGTCATGCTAATAAAGCTATTTGAATTGATTTGAATGTTGATAATTACATCCATCTGGGATATTGGCTATAGCATGTTGAAGTGCAAATATAAAAAGTGTATAATAGTGTATATAATACTCTAGGTTTAACAACAAATCATTTGAAATAACGACAAAAGTGGTATCTGACTATCAAATACAGGCAAAAAGTTAAAACATATCAAACACATATGTATTTTTGAGTGATGAGCATGTGCAGATCATCACAAACAAACAGGTTGCATTCAAATTTTCAGTTATCTTAGGAAGGTTTCAAACGGAGTGAAATGACCCAGAAGAACCTCAGTGTCAGCCATGTAAAGAAAATGTCTCCAGCGATGGCGCCCGTGTCTTTGGCTCTTCTCCAACTCTGCATTTTCTTCATTATATTTCAGTGTTTGTTTACATTTGGGTGTGTGCTTTTAACTTTGTCCGCTACATGCAAGCTGATGCTGGCCTTTCTATCTGCCGAGATTTTAACACTGCCAACATGAAGAAGGTCCTGCCGAAGTACTACCAGCACATCAGCTGCCCTACGCACGGTGGAAACACACTGGACCATGTTTATTCCCCTTTCCGACATGGATATAGAGCTCGCCCTCCCTTCGGGAAAATCAGACCACATCTCACTGCTGCCAGCTTACTTTGAAACGACGGAGTGGTGTGTGTTTGAGGATGACAACATCAACACACACACGGACGCGTTGCTACATTGGCAAATGCATCGATGACGTAGTACTGAAGATTACTGTACGGACAGTCCCTAACCAGAAGCCCTGGATAAACAGCGAGGTGCGTACCAAGCTGAAAGCGCGCACTATCGCAAACAGTGGAGATTTGGATGAGTACAGGAAATCAAGGTACGCGCTCAGAGCAATTAGCAATGCAAAGAGACAATACAGAGACAAAAGGGAGTCTGACTTCAAAGGCTGTAACACCTGGAACATGTGGGCGGGACTAAGAACAATGCAAGGTGCAGAGGGACTGTCTGCGTGCGCATCTCTCCCAGATGAGCTGAACGTTTTTTTTTGCACGATTCGAGAGCAGCCAGGCTGTGGAGCCACAGAAGGATCAGGAGCCCGACCCTTTTGTTTTAAACAGGGCAGATGTGTGCAAATCCTTTGAAAGGGTTAACCCACACAAGGCTCCTGGACCTGATGGCATCCCTGGCTGTGTTCTCTGGCCGTGTGCAGTTCAGCTGGCAGAGGTGTTCACAGACATCTTCAACATGTCCCTGCTGCAGTCTGTAGTCCCCACATGCTTCAAACACTCCGCCATCGCTCCTGTCCCCAAAAAGACAATAATCACCTGCATCAACGACTACCGCCCAGTAGCACTCACCTCCATCATAATGAAGTGCTTTGAGCGGTTAGTCAAATCATTCATCACCTCCTCCCTCCCTGAATCTCTGGACCCCCTGCAGTTTGCCTACAGAGCAAACAGGTCTACAGACGACCCCATCGCACACACCCTCCATACTGCCCTCTCCCAAAGACCCCCATCACCCCAGCCACAAACTGTTCTGTCTGCTGCCGCCTGGCAGGTGCAACCGCAGCATCAGGACTAAAACCACCAGATTCAGGGACAGCTTCATCCCACAGGCCAGAAGGCTATTAAACACCTGAGTTGCACTATTTTTATTTTTTACATATATTTTTTTTAAATGTATGTCTTGTAATTGCACTGTTGAGGAACCTGTGATCCAAGTTTTTCATTCATTGCATAACTACACTGTAGTTGTGTATATGACATGACAATAAATCTTTGAATCTTGAATCTTGATAAGAGCTGTTCGAGTTCTCTAGTCTAGATGAAGGAAACCTCCTTTACCTCCTTTAGCTTAGGAAACACTGGACTTTCCTTTACAAAGGGAAAGGACAAAATGCTGTCTCACAATACCTAGCAGCCGCAACATTTACCATGACATAACATTGGGCCGTTCACTGAAACAACCGATCGTGAGTGAGGAATGCGGATCATGAAGGTTACGGTGCTTATTAAGCAATCTAATGGTCCCCTATTATGCAAAATGCAGGAGACTCACAAAGTGTCAGAAAATAAAACCCTCTCTCTTTTCCTCCTTACCCACATCTCTAAAAACGGGGGAACAACGGAGCTGATCCAGATTTGATGAGCGCTGCTCTCTTTTCTTTTCTTTTTTAAAGCTACGGACCCAGAGTCAGCACTTTTGTAACAGGGCTGAAATAGAGGGGGTTGAGGCTACAATGATCTGTTTGGTATTTTGAGCAAAACACTTCAGAGGCATGTTTTTGACATATCTGAGACCTATACTGTAATATATGCTTTAAAATAGTATAATAGGAGACCTTTAAAACTTATACCGTAACTTGACAAAGTGCTTTGTTTTAACATTCAACACTATAATAATCAAAAGGAGAAACATGAAAGTCACTTTTTTTACTGTAAAATGATCAAATAAACTTCACAGTGTTTACTGAGCTGTGTGGGGTTTCTTAAAGTTTTAAACATGTTTGAATGGTGATATACACAGTGATAGATGTTAAGGCCCAACAAGTTTATAATAAATACAATTGTAAATATTTTCACCATAAGAGCGCACGGTGCAAAGTATCTACAGTAGATGGGCTTACAGTAGTCTGCTGTACAGAGAACTGGAGTTTCCCCTCAGCAGACGCACATTAATAACATCCGATAAGATGAGCCTTGCCCTCACCTGTCGACCCCGGCCACCATGAGCAGCTGTTTGAACTGCTGAGGACTCTGGGGCAGGGAGTAGAAGCGGCCCGGCTCTCTGGACGGAACCACAAACTCTTTGGCTCCCTGAAACACAAGACCATGATCAGAGTGTGGCCTTCACATGTTTCTGAGGGAAGCAGAACATACAAGTCATCTCTTTCTATAATGAAACATTCTCAGATGCTTCGACTGTTTGATGGGCAAAGTGAGTTGAATTCTGTGCGGGAATATTTAAATAATGAAGGATCTTCTTACCCCTGGTGTTCTCTTAAACAAGGTGGGAGTTTCCACATCCACAAAGCCTACAATGAGAAGAATAAAAGAGACTGCTAGATAAAGTCCATGCATCTGAGAGAAAACCCAGGCAAACCCTACACACTGTGTGTGTGTGTGTGTGTGTGTGTGTGTGTGTGTGTGTGTGTGTGTGTGTGTGTGTGTGTGTGTGTGTGTGTGTGTGTGTGTGTAATATGAAGCTCTTTACTTGCTGTAACACATTGACATTTCCCCTCTGTGGAACGAATAAAAGTATCCTGATTCTGATTCATTTGTTCTTTTTTGAATACACTTATAAATGCATACAATAGAGTGTGTGAGTTTAACTGTGTGTATTAAATAAAAACAGAGCATTTTCTGTCTGATTGTATTCCTGCTTTTTTAAACTGTAGTATGTGCTCATGTGTTTCATTGGTGATGTATTGCCTCATGAAAGGCAGCTTTTCCTAGAAATGAAATCGTTTCTGATCTTAAATATCTTGGTTCCTTCTTTCCTAAAGTCACATTGTTCTGATGTCTTCTCTCTTGGATTCATTTGCACTGCATTTGATATTGAGCTAATCCAAAAGTAACTGAAAGTAATCAGATTACATTACTTTTATATTTTGAAGCTCAGATTAGGTTACCGATTACTTTTTTTAACAGGTAACTAATGACTTCTAAGGTAACCCTCCCGGCCCTGGTCCCGGTGAGGGGGGGCTGGTCCTGGCTCTGCTCACCGTGCTGGTTGCAGAGGAACTCCCTCATCCTCATCACCAGCTGGGACCTCAGCCGGAGGTTCCTCTGCATCTCAGACGACCTCAGGTCCAGGTAGCGGTACTTCATCCGCAAAGACTCTGACTTCTGTGCAAAAACACAATCATTCATAATTAATAACAATAATAAAATATAATTTAAAATGTGCAAAGTAGTGACTTACTTTGACAAAGTCTTTCATTTCAAAAGGCAACGTGCGGCACACGTTCAAAACCTCCACGCTCTCAGCCAGGACTTCTATCTCTCCTGTCGGCATGCCCTGCTCATATCAAACCAGAGCAAACTTTATTTATACAGCAGTTTCATACACAAAGGTCACTCCAAGTACTTCACAAACCAAGCACATAGACAGTTTACAAGAAATGTAAACAATGCTACCTCCCCCTTTCATAATAAATGAAAATGAAATAAGAATAAAATACAATTCAGTTAACACAGCAGAATGGGGAGATGGAACAAAAAACAAGTGAACACTCTATTTGACATATATATACACAGTATGTCACTCTATATATGTATATGTATATGTATATAGTCCTATGAATTTGAACACCTCAAATATTCACTCTGCTAATACATTTAAGTCTCTTAAAGTACCCAGAGAACGCTGCTTTGCCCCGCTGTAGATGGGAACTTGAAACTAAATGACCCTGCAGCTATTCAGCGATGACATGCTTGATATGGTTTACGCTGACTTTGCAATGCACTCATATGTTCCAGAGGTGTGGGAACAATACTTTGCCCTCCCGGGTTTTACTACATGATGGTATTGAATGTACAGCTGCTTGAGAACTGCCTCCTACTGATAGTTCAGTAGTTGGAATCGTGGGTGGCTGACCACTGAAGGCATGTCTTTATGAATCATCTGTCAGCTTCAACATTAGATTTTCTTCTAAAGCGCGGCCATGTTTTGTTGCAGCTTTTGAGGTACATTTAAAATGATACATACTTTAAATGTGCTTATAAAGACACATCAAACAATAAATTAAAGTGAAATACAATACACATTATCGTGTGTATTTCAATATAATGTATGTCTTGTGAATTTAAATAAAAACTCTTAAAGGGAGGCGTGGAAGGGAGTTGTATTGGCACGTAAGCTCGGCTGGATGATAAGAGGAAGATGTGCGATGATGAATATAACAATCCTATTCAAGTGTACTCAGTTATGCCACTCTGCTAAACTACAGCCAACTGCTTGTTGAATACAAACATGTAAGTTCGTAAATTATTTCCAACATTCTTGAAAAAAATGTATTGAACATTGAACTGAAGGGAGAAGGCACCAATACAAAGAGAAAGATAGTTACATTTTACCATTCCACATTGTCTTTGCTGCTCTCTGCTGGATTCATTCTTATTTAAAAAAGAAATCTAAATATTTGTTATTTAACATATTTTCCCCATGTTAACAGTTATTTGATTTATTTGATTTTATTAAGGCGTTTTAAACCTCCCTTTCCATTTTAAGCATTGACGTATTATTGGTTTGGATGCATTGTATAAAGTATGGCATCATATTATTTCAAATGTAAATTACAGTCTGTTCATATTTATTGTCGATAGTGTCTGTATTATAATGTCTATTTTTATACCTGATCTATAGTGTATTCAATTTCTTTACTGCTTTTATGTTAATACCTCATTATACTGTAGTGTAAATACATCAGTTTGTATATATAGATACACATATTTATATGATAGCATGAATAACTCTTCTATCTGCTTGTTTTGCACGTCTGGTGAGATGCTAACAACTGCATTTCGTTGTCTTAGTATTTGTACTCTGTTCAATGACAATAAAGTGTAATCTAATCTAAAGCACGGAGGATAATGTGTGAATGACAAAGGAACCAGTATCATGTGATTCGACCCAGCAGTGAACCTACAGCTCTTTAAAGCGAACCCAGGAGGGTCTGCTCCACTCCAGCATCCCCCCCCCCTGACTGATTCAATATCTCATGCACAGAAGCTTTCATGCCACTCACTAACCGTGTTCTCCTGCCCCGCTGGGCGCCGTCTGACTGTTCCTGTAACCTTGACGACAGACTCCGTTGTGAGATCACACAGCCCCGCTCTCAAATGACTCGCAGACTTAAAACACAGAAGAAAAATAAAAAAGAAGTTCAATCTAAAAATATAGAGAACTGGAGCAGTAAATCAAATTATTGTTAGTATTATTATAATAGTGTTATTTTCTGTAATAGCATTTACAGACACTGTATTGTGGTATTTGTTTCCATCCTTACTTCTTCCTGAGGAATGAGGACTTGTGCCAGGCCGCTGAAGTCTCGCAGGATGACAAACAGGTCCTGCCTGTCGGAGGCAGAAACTGTTTTTAAATATTTCTTTGAGAAAAAAGTCTGGATAGTGCTGGGAACTTTGCTCCCCAAAACACAACTGTCAGGTTGTAAGATAAATGTATCTACACAGGTTATAGTTGTGCAGCTCGACAGGAAAGGTAAAGCCAGTAACATGTATTACTGACACACAGCACCTGTCCTGAAGACCAACATATGGCTGAAAGATGTGCAGTGTACAGAGTACTGTCATCACAGGTTTTTGGAGCAAGATACGATTGTACAGAAACTCCTAGTCAGGCTTGGGAGTAAAGGATTAAACGAAACATGATTACGTTTCTTCTTTCCTAAGGTCACAATAGAGGCTTCTCAATACTCTAATTTCCCCTCACCTCCTCCTTGGTCCTCCGGTAGTGACCCGGAAATGGGTTTCAGAGCGCCATGTTGAAGGACATCTAATTTCTCTAAATGCACATCGAGGACCGAGCATCGAGCGTCGAGGAGGCTCTCTGGAGGAGCTATAACCGAGGATACACTGATGGGTCCTCCACGGCTCCTCCACGGATGCATTTCCGGGAACGGTGGAGGCGTTACGCACGGCCGGACTTATCTCAGCCAATGACAGCGCTGCATGCATCCCCTGGATATTATTTTAGTAACTGTTTTCATCGCGACGCGATGTTTACAGTGAGAACAGCTGTGAGGTCCGTGCAGAAAGCAGAGCAGTGTGTATAATATATATCACTCAGTATAACAGGCCTACTCTCTTTATTTGCTTTAGTTTAGTAGATATCTACAAACAAAGAGTCCATATTTTTCTAAAACCATTTAGTGCTTCACATAATAAAATACCCAACAGCTGTAGCCTGATTATGCTTTAGGAGCTGTAGGTGTGTGTGGTACAGTGTGTAGGTGTGCGTGTGGTACAGTGCAGGGACGTGCACAGGTACGGGCTATTGTTGCCCGGGCAACGGCCCGTTTGCCCTGACCTGCCCCTCTGGAGAGAGCGAGAGTTTTTTTGTTTCTGTTGTGGCCGAATCAACATGATAAGCCCACAATTAGTATTGTAGCGTCTCGCTGCGATAAAACACACCTTGGCTTGTCAGCGCTGTCATCTGCCGGTGCGTTAAAGACCACCTCTAGTGTCGGATTTTGGAAAATTGATTTTGAGTTTTCTCATGACAGTTAGAGTATAGGCGACAAACCAGGGGACTTATCTTCCTCTTGACACCGTCTGTTATTTAGAAACAAACACCTAAATATACTTGTTATTGTGCTTCTGTCTTTCTGTGTCGTTTCATCTGTAAACTCCCTCGCCCTCTCTCTTCTCTTGATCGCCCTCTCTCAGGAGAACACTTCACTGTCCCGCTTCATTGTAGGATTTCTGCCATGTCTCTACTTCAGTTTGACCATCTCTGTTATGAAGTTATGGAAGTTATTAGATACCTTACCGTTACTGCGCTCATAAAGAATGATAAGAATAAGAATAATGCGTATTGAACTGGTTTCATTAATTAGTGAGTTTATTTAAGGTAATTAGTTAGAAGCCCTATTTTATCAGTATGTCTGCACAGAAGTTACAATGGTCAAACTACATTAAAACAGAATTGTCCCCATTTTCTCTTTAATAGTTACTAACATTAGATATTTTAGTGAGATATGGACCGCAAAACTAAAAATGTCCCTGGTTTTCTTTTTATGAACTACCGAATGCAAGTAGTCGCCTTAGCTTTAGCTTTTTTTTTAGATGATAATGTGAATTACTCTTCAAATTAGTTAATGTAAAAATCGTTTGGTTTCTTTTGCATTAAAAACAAGTTAGAATTTTCAAAAGGTCTTATGTTTTTTTTCGGGGGGAGGCCCTTTTTCCAGTTTAGAGCAATAGTCCCTCCAAATGTCTGTGCACGTCCTTGGTACAGTGTGTAGGTGTGTGTGTGGTACAGTGTGTAGGTGTGTGTGTGTGGTACAGTCTTTAGGTGTGTGTGTGTGGTACAGTGTGTAGGTGTGTGGTACAGTGTGTAGGTGCGTGTTGTACAGTGTGTAGGTGCGTGTTGTACAGTGTGTAGGTGCGTGTTGTACAGTGTGTAGGTGCGTGTTGTACAGTGTGTAGGTGTGTGGTACAGTGTGTAGGTGCGTGTTGTACAGTGTGTAGGTGTGTGGTACAGTGTGTAGGTGCGTGTTGTACAGTGTGTAGGTGCGTGTTGTACAGTGTGTAGTACAGTGTGTAGGTGCGTGTTGTACAGTGTGTAGGTGCGTGTTGTACAGTGTGTAGGTGTGTGGTACAGTGTGTAGGTGCGTGTTGTACAGTGTGTAGGTGCGTGTTGTACAGTGTGTAGGTGCGTGTTGTACAGTGTGTAGGTGTGTGTGTGGTACAGTGTGTAAGTGCGTGTTGTACAGTGCGTAGATGTGTGTGTGGTACAGTGTGTAGGTGCGTGTTGTACAGTGTGTAGGTGTGTGGTACAGTGTGTAGGTGCGTGTTGTACAGTGTGTAGGTGTGTGTGTGGTACAGTGTGTAGGTGCGTGTTGTACAGTGCGTAGATGCGGCGGATAGACGGGTCTCAGTTGGTTTGGTGTCCTATGCTTACTTTTAATACTTGCAAATACAACTTTTGGGCCGTAATTTCAATTCCACTTCTTTGGGGGGGGGGGGGGATATATCCAGTCTTTGATTGTGTTACGTTATTATGAGAGTGCTCTCATACTTTAAATTGTATATATTTATATAAATATGTGTGTGTGTCTGCATCTGTAGCCTGTTATTGTCTCATTATACCGCACTGTCAATGAATTAAAAGTAAATATATAAGTGGTCATGAACACATCTGTCCATCAGACAGAGGGCTGCTGTGCCTCCTGTCATCATTAATGGACGTCTCTTTAAAATGACCGCTCAGAGGAGAGGAGTTCTCATTTCTCTAACCGCCTGCTGCTTCCCCTCCTCTCTCCTCGGCTCCCCACCTCGGCTCCTCCGCTCGCATCTCCTGTGGGCGGGGCTAAGTCACGAGGATAGGAGTCGAGGAGGGGAAATTAGAGTATTGAGAAGCCTCTATGGTTCTGTTGTCTTACAGAATACACTTAGTAAAAAACATCTTATTATATTTACTTTCTCTTTTATATATTTGCATTGTATTTGATATTGAGCTAATCCGAGAGTAATGGAAAGTAATCAGGTTACATTACTTTTATATGTTGATACTCTGATTAGGTTACTGATTACATTTTTGTTTACAGGTAACTAGTAATAGTAATGGATTAGATTTTTAAAGTAACCCTCCCAACCCTGCTCATGGTCCTAGAGCCTGACTCCTCCTGACTGAGATCAGGTCTCATTTCTCCCCACAGTCTGATGTAACGTCCCCCGTTTTTAGTAGGCTTCTTCTTTTGGATTTACTGTCAGATGGTACATTTAAATCCTTTCTCAATTTGGGATGAATAAAGTGTCTATGACTGTGTCTAGTGACTGCAGAGTCTCACCTGAGGTACTGGACCCAGCCACACAGCGTGACGCTCTCCCCCACATGATGTGCCCTGAGCTCTCCACAGGCGTGGCTCCTGAGTGACAGACTGTTGGCACCTTGGACAGAAACTGATGTGGATCATGGCGGGACAGTAAATGTTGATATGATCACATTAGGTTATCTTTAACACATTATCATTGTTCAAATGAATGATTCCAAGCACGCTGTAATACTGGTGAGTTACAAAACTAAACCGTTATTAATTCATGATTAAGACTAATTATTTATATAATTTAGCATTAGGGCTGCATCTGCATGACATTAGTGATTAATGCCATTGTGAAATTATGTGATAAAAAATGGCATTTGTGATAAATAGATATTAATAATGCAGGTGGACCCTATGCCATAATACTACCTTATTTCATATGGTTTGATGCTTGTTTTTAACTGATCATCTTAATTGTTGCTTAAAAAATGTAGGCTGAACTGATTCCAATATGATTTAGTGCCATCTTAAGAATTGTACCCACATTTTTATGATTATCAAGATAATGTCATGAATTTAAATTATTTTGCTAGTTTAATCGTATAATAAAATGTCTTATTTATCGTCCCATGCCTAACCTTATAGTCAATCAATCAATCAATCAATCAATCAATCAATGTTTATTTATATAGCCCAATATCACAAATGTTACATTTGTCTCAGTGGACTTCACAGTTTGTACAGAATATCAGTATGACAATACGACACCCTCTGTCCTTAGACCCTCACATCGTACAAGGAAACACTTCCAGAGAAACCCCCACAGTTTAAAGGAACATGTGAGAAACCTCAGGGAGAGCAACAGAGGAGGGATCCCTCTCCCAGGACGGACAGACGTGCAATAGATGCCGTGTGTAAATTGAAAAGATAATACATTTACAACATAACATGTTGTAGTCATGTGTTCATCCTGGACCCTGAATGACGTCACTGTCCAATGGCAGTCAGGTACAGTGGATCTGTTCCCTCTAACCTTCAGTGAGTCATTACAGTCACATGATGCACCCATCACTTTTAGAGTACCTGTGTGAGCAGCAGCAGCCCTGCAGGGTGTGTGTGTGCAGCTCAGGGGTCTGAGCTGAGGGGCCCCCAGCAGCAGGGGTCCTTTCCTAGAGGTCGAGGGTGAGCTCTGGTACCAAACAGCGCGAGCCCTGAGAGCAGTGCACGCTCTCAGCAGCGCGTGCCTGCTCCTCACTAACATGGTGCTCCACAGCCACACTGAGAAGCTGCAGGCTGAGATAACCTCCGTCAGTCCCACAGCGGGCTGTCGCTGTGTCTGAATGGAGCACACTCAGGCTCCCTCTGAGGGAACAGTTATAAAGAGTTCATTGGTGTACTAATGACACCATAATAACACTCGCAGGAACTCCACTGACCGGGGCAGGCTGTCACTGTGTCCGCTCCTACTTCCGTATGTTCCACTGCTCTCTGCTAATGTGGATATAATCCATATGTGTAGGAAGTAAGGAAGCGTAAACGGAAGTGACGCCATGAAGACCAAAGCAGTCGATCGGCAACATTTCTTTTTTTTAAACGCACGTAATCTTGTCTTTTTAAGTTTTTACATAATTTCTTACAACACAGATCCAATTTAGACTTAAATGTATTCTCCTTTTGTAACGCAGCTATTGAAACACTAGAACATATTTTCTTTTGCTGCACTTACCAGTTTACTTACAATTGAGCAAAACTTGAATGACTTTGTATATTACAGTGTAGCTGTTGACTTTTACTCCAGGTGTAACTAAGGTTAAGTGTTGATTATATTTCATATCAATCATTCATCCAAATCTGTAAAGTAACTAAAGGTATTAAATAAATCAATGTAGTGGAGTAAAAGTACAATATTTACCTCTGAATTGCATGGGGTATAAGTAGCAAAACATTAAAATACTTACATCTCAAAATTGTACTTAGTAAATCTACTTATTTTCTTTACATCACTGATTACTGATTTACCAAATAGTTTTTTCTGGAACACTTTAGAGCGGTGTTAAGTAGTACCCTCCGCTCCAGCAGGTGGCGCTGCTGCGTTTCTAACCGCTGTGTTATCCTCAGAAGAGAACCCTTTCTAAACAAGTAGAAACAGGTGTTAAGGACTGGGACGGCTGTCTTTAAAGTGTGTGTGTGTGTGTGTGTGTGTGTGTGTGTGTGTGTGTGTGTGTGTGTGTGTGTGTGTGTGTGTGTGTGTGTGTGTGTGTGTGTGTGTGTGTGCAGAGCCGGCCCGACCCATTAAGCGACATAAGCGGCTGCTTAGGGCCCGCAGCCACTAAGGGCCCCCTAGCAAAAAATGAAAAAAAAAAAAATAGTCTCAAATGAAATCTCAGTACACCGTTGCCGTGATAAGTATGTTTAATTAATTTTGTTAATATGCCTAGATTGCCTACTCTCAAAGTCATAATACATGTATTATATTATTAAGTCAATAATCTTAGAAGCTACCTTACAGTACACAGTTGATCCTGAGTCCTGTCAGTTAAAGTGTTTCAGTTATGAAATACTATATGACAAAACAAGAATACAGTTTAAAAGGGGAGTGATTTATAAAATATCCATAAAGAAAAATCTGTTTACAGTTCTGTTTCATATGGGTGTTGAGAGATGTATCCATAGATCTCTTCATTTTGCTCTCAAAGTGCACCAGATTGATGCTTTTAACTTCAATATTTTTTTTTAAATGTTCCTGGGGGAGCATGCCCCCGGACCCCCCTAGAGGATGTTAGGTCCACGGTGTTTACATGCTTATTTATACAATATGTGTGCTTATGCTAACATCATAAGACAAAAGTTGGTTCCGTGTTGTGTGTAGTGAGAACGTGCTAGAGTGAGGGGGGCCCCAAGCCAAAGCTCGCTTAGGGCCCCCAAAAGTCTAGGGCTGGCCCTGTGTGTGTGTGTGTGTGTGTGTGTGTGTGTGTGTGTGTGTGTGTGTGTGTGTGTGTGTGTGTGTGTGTGTGTGTGTGTGTGTGTGTGTGTGTGTGTGTGTGTGTGTGTGCAGTATGTCGGCCTGCAGGCTGATGAGAGCCATCTCAGTGCGGGAGTTCGGGGTCCCGTCAGTCCTCAGCAGGCACGTGCACAAATAATAATAATAATAGATTTATTTTGTTAGCGCTTTTACAGGTGCTCAAAGACGCTTTACAGATATAGTGAAAAGAAAAGAACAACAAATAAATACATAGACATCAAAGTGGGCTTGAGCCCCTGCCCTTTTTCTTCCTCCAGAGAAAGTGCCCTTTTCCCCCCTTTTTTTTATTTTTTATAAATGAATATATATCTACTGCTGTTTGCGCACAGTTTCCCTTTCCAAAAATATATTGATTGAATAGAAAATTAAAATATCAGGTCGGGAAATTAGACTGTGAAGTTCCGTAGCTCTCCCTCCCTCCCTCCACGGTTGCAGTCGAATAGTCCAAACATCAGCTCCTAAATTCTAACCCTATCGTCTATCCCTTGACCTCTGTGTGAAACGTCACGGGGTTAAGGGATAGTGGATAGGAGAATTCAAAAGGATTTAGGAGAAGAGACTGCGGTACTTTAGAGAATCCGACTGCACTTTCACTATCCGACGTGTTTATGATGCGCCAGCGGAGGTCATAAATGTGCGCCTGCTGCTGTGGGGAAACTATGGAAACTACAGTGTTCTATACAGCGGACTACAACATGGATGTTTAATAAGAACGAGGGACTACTGTAAACTCATCTAGAGACTCTGCACCGTGCTCTGATGCTGTTGATTTATGCTTTATGAACGGGGACAACAGAGAAACATATTCTTCATGACCAAAGTTGGAATTGAAATAAAAAAGGAAAGTGAAACTTATGCTCGTCACCCTCTCCCTCCGGTCCACATTAATACAAATGATCCCAATACGTATGATTGTATGAAAAGATCTTAAAATCAATACAAATGTATTTATTATAAACGTTAGTCCTTAACATCTATCACTGTGTATATCACCATTCAAACATCTTTTAAAAGTTGAACAAACCCCACATAGCTCAGTAAAGACTGTGAAATGTTGACTTTATTTGATGATTTCAGTAAAAACTAACGTTCATATTTCTCTTTTTGATTATAATACTGATGAACGTTCAAAACAAAGCACTTTGGCAACTTACCACATACGTTTTAAAAAGCTTAATAAGCACCGTAACTTTCATGATATAATTTCTCGGTCATAATCGGTTGTTTCCGTGAACGGCCGAATGTTGTGTGACGGCAAATGCTGAATTTGCCGTCACACAACATTCGTGACGGGAGTTCGGGGGTCCGAACTCCCGAACTCTACTTATTTTAGAGTTAACTATATTTAACTAAATGCTGCCCCCCAAATGCTGCAAGGCATTGTGGGGCAGCATTTTCTCCTCTCCTTTCGTAAAGGGAGGTCCAGTGGTTCCTCAGCTAAAGGAGGTTATAAACAGGGGTGCACATAACTTTTTTAGTGAGTTACTCAGATGAGTACCAGGAGACAGCGTTTGGTACTCACCCCACATGAAGCGTGGTTTTAATAAGTGCAGTCTTCCTCACTGTCCTCCTCAGTGTCTCCTTCACTGTCCTCTATTTACACTTCTTGCATGCTAGATGATGAAGATGATGAAGATGCACCTCCCTGTCTCTTTTTAAGCCTCCGATTTGCTTTCTCCAAAACTTGTTGCCAAAACTGTGAAGTCCTTGCATTTCCTGAGGCCAAGTTGAAGGATCAAATACTAAGAAATTATCACATGACTTGTAGTCATATCTGATTTCAGAGGAGGGAAGTAACAAAGTACATTTATTCAAGTACTGTACTTAGGTACAATTTATGCTACTTTGTACTTCTACTCCACTACAGTTCAGAGGTAAATCATGTACTTTTCCTCCACTACATGTAGTTAATACATTTTAGTTACTTCACAGATCTGGATGAATGATGTGAAATATAATCAAGTCTTAAATCAGACTTTAGTTCCACCTGGAGTAAATCCACAAGCTACCCTGCAGTATACAAAGTCATTCAAACTCATTTTTAAACACTTTAATGATCAATAATTATAAAACATATCATATACATTATTATGAAATGGACCAATCTGCAAAATGACTACTTTTACTGTCGCTACTTTAACTAGGTGTTGATGATAATACTTTTTTAATTTTACTTGAGTAACACTTCATCCACCTAACCCTGTCTGATTTCAAACTCTTCCATTAACAGCCTGAGTAAGTTTGCAGGCAGCTGTGTGTTTTAACTGCAGCAGCTTGACCACAGAGCGTGACCGTTGTGATCAGCTGATTTTGCGCAGTTCTCCAGTGTGTGCGCGGGGCACAGAATGTGCACAGGGGAGTCTCCCACTGCAGCCAGTTGATGTAGTTTTGGTACAATTCTGTTGTAGGCCTACACACCGACGTTAACAGCAGCCCCGTCTGTGCACACGGCGACCAACTCTGTCGTCCAGTGATCTAAGCCTCTTTCTCCTGTGAAGCTTCACAGGTCCGTCGGTTATGTCCTGCGCGGCACAGCCAGCACCCAGTTCAATCAGTCATAGAAAGTCCGAAGATTTTTGCAGGGAGCGAAACGGCAAAGTGGCTGCTTAATGTCTTTGTTTTTTTTGGACATGTCTAATAATTTACTCCACTGAGTGTTGACAAGAAACACGTATAGACGAAATATGTGTTTTTGTTTTGATGACCTATCAGGTACGCAAAGGCGCGTTGTGACACAAGTGACGTTACGCATTTCAGATTGTTGCCGCGCATGCGTACCTGCGTACCAGTTATGTGCACCCCTGGTTATAAAGGAAGTTTGAAACTTCCTTTCCTATCATCTAGAGCAGGGGTGCCCACACTTTTTCAGCTTGGGAGCTACTTTTAAAATGACCAAGCCCAAATGATCTACCAACAGGCCCTGCCCAATCTGTGTCGTGAGCGGGAGGGGGGGGGGGGGGTGCTAGTGGACTAAACGGTGGATAAACTGTGGCGCGCTTATACTAATTGCGCCGCATAAGCATATAATAGTGCGCCGCAGTTGCGCTTCAGGTGAGGAGGTGAGGCCCCCTCATAACTGCATGAACCCGTATGGCACAATACAACTCACTTACTGGCTTACCTGTACGTCAATCAAGTGGCAAATGCCATAGTAAGGATGGATGATAGGCTAACTTTAAAAAAAAAAAGTGTTTTCAATGCCATGTGATCTACCCACACTACCCTTGCGATCGACGTATTGGGCACCCCTGATCTAGAGAATTCGAACGGCACTTATCATGGCTGCCACTGAGGGACTTCCGGGTCATTTCACTCCGTTAGGAAGGTTCCTAAGCTAAATGGACTATTCGACTTCAGCCCTGCACAGCGGTGCGGACATCGGCAGTCCCTTCAGACAGACAGGTAGCAGCACCTCCCACTTTACAGTCCCATGTTATGCCGGCTTTTCTTGGCTTATTTTGAAGGTGACTGGTGATGAACAAATTACTAAA